ATCACCAAGGCTGTGCTCCCTTTTAACTCTGAAGGCAAGAGGTGACTGTACCACTACTCCAAGGAAACCAGTCGAATCCTGACTGTGGTCACGGGGTGGATTGTGTGGCAGATGCACCCACCCTACTAAAGACCCAACAAAAGACAGTGCTAAAGTTTCTGGCCCTGGCGGTGCCAGGACTGCCTCCCCCCCTCACAGCTCATGTCTGGTCCACACAGTGGGGGTCAAAGGAGGGAAAGTTGGGGTCCTCCGCCAGTAGGGGCTGACACGACCAAGTATTGACCACAGAGCAGATTCGACCAGGCTATAAATGGGGCCCCACCGGAGGACTCATTGGAGTCGGTCCTCCTCGGAGCAGTGGGTCTGCAGTCGGGGACTCTCCCCTTGAGTTGGGACGCCACTTAAGGTAACTTCTCGAGATTGAGAGCCCTCCCTTTTTGGTGAGTGAGTGAGTGCACATTTTGGATTGTTTGGCCAAAACTTAAGAATTCTTAACTCAGCTGTGTCTGGTAATATTCCCAACCAGCATATCGGACCTGTATTTGTTAAATGTCAGTGGGATGTTGTCTTGGTGAATGAAGTTTTGTCTGCTTCATTTCAGTTGCAGATTAAAGCTTGTTTGAGTTCATTATTTGTGTGCGTGTAGCCATTTTGGTGCGATTCTGTGACACTTAGCAAAGAGATTTCACACCACGATAAAGAATATATATCTGTATTGGAAGGGACAGAATTTTTATTAGGAACCTCTCATAATTCAGGAGGCTTAGTGCAGAGGAGAAAGGGAACAGGTAGTAAGGGTCTTAATATACAAATTCATGCCTGCCTTGACACAGTGATACCAAGGACACGGCAGCAGACAAAGGTGTCTTTTTCTCTCTCTTGGTTTCTACAAGATCATTACCCATGACATCTTGGCAGTGCTGTATTATTCCATTCTAGCACTGGTTTTTTAGAAAATTTTGGGAAAAGGGGGGTCATACTGACACTGTACCTCTCTGCTTGCCTACTTGTCCTTGCCTCCTCCAGCCCTGGTTCAGGCTGCTGACAAATTTCGGGGAAATCTGGGACTGAAATAGCAACTGCACAGAGAGTGTCCCTGTAAGTTTTGAAAGACTGCAGTATCAACTGATCCTTTAGAAGAGATCATAGAATTCAGTGCAGATTCATTTGAATGAATCACATGAGGTGTTTCAGAGCTTAGACCTTGCTGGGCATGCAAGTGGACTACCTGGAAGCACAGCTCTGCGGAAAATCACGCTTCTCTTGGTAGAATTGCTTGTTTCTTACTACAACCAAATTCTCTTTTTCATTTTAAGATGAAACTGATCTTTCTGTACATGTTTTATCTGAAATTATCAGTCATGTTAAAGAAAGAGAAATAAGAGGGGAAGCTGCTTGAGTTCATTGCTCCTGAGATCTTTGATTTATAACTATGAAATGATGAGAGGAAAGAACATTTCCCATGTTGTAAGTTCTGGTAAAAACTGCCACAGAGATCAGCAAGGTGCAGTTCATGTAATAAAATACATTCTGCAGGAGGAGAAACTGGTGTGAGTAATATGTCATCTGCCTTGAACAGTGTATGGTGATAAATAAAAGTTACTTTCTTCTTAAAAACGCTGAAGAGCATTTCATTCCAAACACAAAGGGAAGGTACAGAATGGGCTGTGCTTACCAAAGTGTCCAAAAACCTACAGAGAGGTGTAGAGGCTGTAGATGCACAGCCAATATAGCAAGGTCAGAAAAGTATGTGGAGAGGGAACTTTCAGGAAACTTGTGGTCGATAACTGCCATCAGGGCTATTGGACATCCAGTGTAGTTATAATAATTCAGGATACAGGAGAAAAAATTTCCCAAGTAGGGAAAATAAATTTCCCAAGGATCATTAAAATTGTTTCTAAACACCCAGCAGTAATGAAGATTACACAGGCGATGGAAACAGGGGATTTGAGAATGAAAGTAACTGCTCATATATCGGGAAGCACTAGGACATGGCAGGATGAATGGGGCTGGTTTCCTACATCCAGGTTAATTGCCATTTCAGCTGAAGCTTTCCTTATGTTTGGAGTATTTATAAAGTCCCTGCTTTGTGTTCAGTGGTTCCCAGTGAAGAGGGAACTTTGCTGGTGCCTGTACCTTATCTGGGGAGCCTACTGGGATCTGTCTGCTCTGATCAGCTGCTCATTTTCATAACACTTGTGGGAACTTAATAGCTTTAACACCACCAAATGGAGATGAAAATGATCATTTTGTCAGTAAGAATTGAGGGATGGGGAGCAGAAGAGAGGGACATGCATAGGCAAATACCCACACTTGGGCAGCATGCACATGTGTTTCCTGAGGAAGCCAGGCTAAAAAATAACGATCTAAACAAGGGTGAATGATGCTTTTTTCCCTTCTTATCTCCTGACTGTACTTCTGACCAGGCTGACACTGTTAATCTTAAGATTTAGAACACTGTCCTTAATTTAAAGTTGACTTGCAGGGGCAGAGTTGACTGTGATTTGTAAATAGAAGAAAATGAGCCCTGGCCTTTAGTTGGCACAGCACAGATTAACAATCAATAGCCCAGCAGGACAGATAAATCATGAAAGCCAAGTCAAATCCTGTACAGTGAAAGGCCAGATGGATGGTCCAGTGCCAGGACTATGCCTCATGTGGAAGGCAGGATGGATGCTCCCTCTTTTGCATATTTCTGATGTGAAGGTTGACAGTTGGTCCTGATAAATAGTGCAGAAGCCTCAAAACAGAGGCAGCTGCAATGTGAACAGGAGAACGGAGAGGCAAAGGCTGCGTAGGAGGAGCGGGGCTTTACAACAGGTTCTACAGCTTTATGGGGGATACTGGAAGACTGGAAGACCCAGCCTGTTTGGGGGCAGCTTGGAAATCAGAATTGAAGGAGGGGTTTTTCAGATAAGTTGTCATTGCCCTTTGCTCTCATCCTTGCATTGTGGACTCCTGTCACATAATACAGCTGTGGCCATGTGTTCCCCTCCACTGCCTGTCCCCTGGGGCTTCAGCACCTGGGAATTGCGGCCCCCAACCCTACCCTGCCCTTGGGCAAACACCCGGGCAATCCAGCTGCTGGCTTGGTACAGCTGATGTGCTCCAAAGTGGGTAGGATTGAGCATGGATCAGGTTGTTAATAACACAGATTTCCAACTCAGGGGATTTGTAATGTTACCCAGACCAGCGAGTAATTGCAGCAGCCTTACAACATTACCCTTAATCAGGAAATATTTGTCCTGCATCCGCATTGAACTAAGTGGTGCCACAAAGAAAAGAGAGGCAGAGTCTTCCAAGAAGATTGCACTGAACCTGTCTGGCCACTTAACATCTGGGTCTGGGAAATTTTATCAGCTTATGAGTTTCACCAGTATTGCACTTTCTTAGGAGAAAACATCTATAATGTGCCAGAATGCCCTTGGCTGTGATTCTGTCCATGTGTTCAGCTGGAGCAGACAGTCAGCATTTAGTGCGGCTCAGATTTGAATCATGCGGAGAATTAAAGTTTTATAAAGCAGGATGAGCAGGCAGCACCTGGGTCTCGTGTGTGGCAGGTCTCTGTCACTACTGACAGGCTGTCACTGCATAACTGTGCCGTTGGTGTCCCTGTGCAGTGTGCACGCACACAGCACGCTTGGGTTGGGAGCAGGAGCACAGAGACAGAGCAGACATCCCTCATCTGTCCTCTTCATAAAAGGCTTCTGCGGCTTTTCCCCGTGCTAGGCGTGGAGAACAGAAGTGTGAAGAAGGAAAGCAGCACTCCAGCTCGCAATGCACACCCGCGAAGCAGCCACGGGCTTTACGGGAATGACATTTACAGCTGACATCAGATACGAGTATTTGCGTTGGGTTTCAGTGTCGGCACCGGAGGTGTGGCTTAGCAGAGATACTGTTTCGATCCTCTGATCCAGCTGAAAGGCGGCTCTGGCTGCGAAGATGCTCGCTCCCCTCGGCTCTGCCATCCTGCCTGCGTCTGACTCCTCCCTCCTGCAGCCCAGCACAGAGCAGGGTGACTCCAGCAGCCGCTCGTTCCTACTGTGTTTCTCCCCGAGCTACTAGAGCTTGAACACACCTGATATCCTGCCTTCGTGTCAACCGAACTCGTGAGTAAGGCACATTGCCTGATATCTGTCGCAAGTGATTGGCATGTTATTACCTTAAGAGCTTAAATTAACCATCTTCCATTACGGAAAGGATTGTGAAGAACTGCATTTTTCTCAGCACCTTTGATACTCCGTTGTTGCCTGATTTTTCGAGCACATGAGTTGTTCTGGTTATCAGGGGTGCTTTCACCTGAATATTTCTTCATCGGATGTCACAGAAGAGTCTGGGAACAAAGAAACTTGTGATGTGGAGCTAACAGTGCTGGTTGCAGCTAGTGAAAACTTGCAGAGTCAGTGAGAAGGCAAAGAAAGAAATTTGCCAAGGACAATGTCAGTAATGCTTAGTAATTTGTCACTCAATAGGACAAGCTTCTTCACTGAAAATCATAGCATTATGGACAAGCCTAGCGAGCAGAGAACTTTGAATGTCTTTCTATTCTGCTTGACTTTTATCATTGCCTTCACAGCACTTCTGGGCAGCATTTATTCACTAGTTTCCCTGCTGCAAATGCAAACCAGAACCACAGTTTCAATGATTGTGACCTCTTTGTCAATAGATGATTTGATTAGCATTGTGCCAGTGATTATTTTCATGCTCACCCAGTGGTCAAGCGATGTCCTCCCCCAGCCTCTGTGCACCACATCAGCACTTATATATTTATTCCAGGGCATTTCCAGCAACCTGAAAGGGTCTCTTATAGTTTCTTACAACTTCTACACCCTCAACAAAACTGAGACAACGAGCTGCAGCACTTCCAAACGACGAGTGAGCGTGGTATGGGCCATCCTCACCATTTGGATTGTCAGTTTGCTGCTCTGCATTTTGCCCCTCTGTGGTTGGGGCAAGTACATCCCCACCTCCTGGGGCTGCTTCACCGACTGTGCCAGTTCCTACATCTTGTTTTTATTTATCGTCTACTCACTGTGCTTTTGCCTTCTCATGGTGCTGTCTGTCCCTCTAACTTACCAGCTGCTGTGCTCAGATGGGCAACAGATACTACACACTGATTACCAGGAGATCTCCCAAGGTTACATCACCCCTGGGACACCTGCGGGCTGCAGCACTGCCACCCCATCCCTGTCACCAGTAGAGCCCGTGGATAAAACCCTGAAGAATTTCCAAAATGTGTGTCCAAGCTTGGAGGTGGTTTTTAGGAAGGGTGTGGCTGAAAGCAGTGCCCTCGAGCCCCGTTGTGTGAACAGCATACAGAGCAGGAGCTGCACGGTTGGCTTTGCCCAGAAGCGGTTCTCACTGATTCTCGCATTGACAAAAGTCATTCTCTGGCTTCCCATGATGGTAAATCTCAGATTGCTTTACTTTGTCATGTTTGCTTACATTTAAATGGGGTGTGAGTTGGCATGCCATGTACTGAAATAGCTGAACAGCCGCCATTGCAGTTGTTCCTTACAGTGTAGTTTGCGCCAGCAAAAGTGCTTTTAAGCAGGTCTGTGTCACTACATGAATTTAAGTGGCTTTCAGCAGGCTTCGCAGAGCGTGATTCATCAGTGTGTTACTCTATCATCACATCATTTGTAGCACTTGAATACAGGGATAATAAGGTTCACCCTTTTGTATTGCCAGCTGTCTGACAAGCATTTGTACAGCGCTATGGAGTCTGTGCATCATACTGTGCTCTTCTGCCCCTCCTGACAGCTGGGAGCTACATCCTTTGCCAGACTGGTTAAAAATTAGGAGTTTGTTAGGAAAATGAGGTTTGCTTGCATCTTTGTCATCTCTGTAGCATTGGAAAGAGAGTGGGGAAGTGGGAGGGGGTGCTGCCCTTGTGCATGAAGAAGTGTATTTGGGAACTGGCACCTTCATGTGTATTAGAAAGGCTGTTGAGAGCTGGGCACATGGGGCTGAGCAGTGCAATCCCTGTCCGCATGATGTGCACCTGAGCTTCCCCCAAGGGAAATAGAGCGTTACAGAGCATCTGCAGCACAGCCCTGCATGATGCTGAGTCCTCTCGACTGTTCCCCATTGGCAGTTGGTGTTCCTCAGTACTATGGGGTTCCTCAGTACCATGTGAAAGAGACCAAGCACTCTCTTCTGAGTTGCTTGGCTCATGAGTTGCTTGTTTGAATCGTGCTCAGGCAGCGATGTTTAGCTTAAGCAAGGGTTTAGCTGAGAAATGCAGAATGAGAAGAGCCTCTGTCAGTGTGTTTGCTCCATTCCGTTAGAAAGAAAATTGTTAGGCTCAGCGAGCACTGATGACAACCTGTGTCTTGTACTTGTGTCATATTCATAGTGAGATGTTCTGTTTATTCCTGGAAGTCTCTCATGTGCCTGAAGCGATTTACATTTCAAAGTGCTCTGCCTTTCAGATACAAATGGTTGTCCAGCACATCACTGGTTTTCAAAGCCTTTCATTTGAGACACTCAGCTTCCTGCTGCCTCTGCTGGCTGCCACAGTCACCCCGGTGTTTGTCCTGTCTGAACACTGGATCTACTTGCCCTGTGGCTGTATCATTAATTGCAGGAGGGATTCGTATGCAGTGCCTTCAGAAGAACTCAAAAGTGAGTATGGGAGGGTGGTGAGCGGGAGTGTAGCTTGTGAGGACAGAAAGTTAGTGTCAGCAACAGTGCTTTGTACTGCTTGAAATCATTTACCTGAATTATATAGACATTATTCAGAACCATAAAAGAGACTCACAACATTCATGTAAGACAGCTGGATGGAAATAGCAGATACTGAGACACAGCAGCTTGGCTGATTTTCCCAGGTCGCAGTTGGATCTTTTAGCAGAGTCGAACAAACTCTGAGTCCTAGTTTCAATTCCCTTTCCTACCCTGGGAAAAATGTATCTGTGAAAATCTGACTTTTAATAATCATGGGCTATGCTAGATATGTTTAATGTCATGGTGGAAAAAAAACCCATGCTAATTGTAAGCAAATTATAAGGAGGAGAGGAGCTATTGTTTGTACACCTGCACTGTAGCTGCTAACCAGAAATCACAGCAACACCAAAAAGTGAATAGTGAAGGACATGATTTATGGAAGGGGCCTGTGTTTCATGCTGCTTGTTGAAAGCTGAGAACCTCCTACACAGTTTTTGCCTAAAATTATTGCCCTACCTGTTTATAAAGCTTACCCTGGTGTAAGATCATGCCAGACCTTCACTAGTAATCTTCCCAGAATATTCTGAAGCCCTCTTTTTGCTCTGGGCCTCCATGTAAAACCAGCTGGAGGAATCCTTGCATATGCTGCCTGCTACAGTCGGTCTCTGCTGTTACACAACTTTTGTTCTTTCCATAAAGAACTTGATCTTGTGATAATACTTAGTCAGGGAAACAGAAGACAAAGGAAAAAGAAGTATTACAATATTTAAATATTTTCTTCTTGTGTGTATCCGATAAAACGTCATATATTGTGTAGTTTTGAAAATGGCAGATAATCTACCAGTTTCTGGGAATCCATTAACTTTGGAATGTATAATTTCTGAATTCATTAAGAAGGCAGCATAATAACATACCATCTGAAAAGACTTTCTTCTCAGCAATTAATTCTTTTTATGGATAGAAAATTGTCTGTTTATATCAATAGTTAAATAATTTATTTCATGTTCTAGAATGTAATTTTCTTTGTCTATGCAATCTCATTTTTCTTCTTGGTTTTGACTCTTTTAATATGATGTTTCTTCCCTTTCTGCTCAGCCAAAAGTAGGAGCTTCAAATTCAACCTGTCATTCCAGCAAGGTTATGGAATCTACAGAATCTCCCATGAAAACCGCCACCACCATGATGACGATGGTGAACCCACGTCCTGTCACAACTTGATGAGCTACGCCTGCCACAACTCCAAAGAATCCAGACGTGGGAGCGGCGATGCCCCCAGCTCCGGGACGGCATCGTTCAGCACCACGGCCCCGGCGGACAGCTCCCGGGGCGCGTCGGTGGGGGCCTGTGCCGGGCAGGACCCGGGGCCAGGGGGGAGCAACGGCCACCCCCTTCCCGACAAACCGGGAGCCCTTCAGAGAGAGGAGGGCAGAAATTTTGAGAAGGCGACTTTTTCTGAAGGCTCAGAAAGGCGGTTGTCCCATGAGGAAAGCCATAAACCTGAACTCACAGACTGGGAGTGGTGCAGGAGTAAATCAGAGAGGACCCCTCGCCAGGTAAAATTTAAATTTGCCCATATTTTTTTCTGATAACAAGAATTTCCTTACCAAAAAAAAAAAGACTAATTTTTACTTATATTGGAATTAGTATTGGTCCTGTGGGTAGTGTAGTTACTTTTACTAAAACTCATACTTAGCATTGTATATTTGAGTAACCACACATCTATTTGCAGACTCTGATCCAGCAATAATTTCTCACTTGTTTTCTTAATCATGAGTTTTTATTTATTATTATTATTATTTTGTGTGCACCTGCATGATCTGTGCATGGTAAGAATTCAGTACGGATTATGTTCATTCATAGGAATAATTCATAGGAATTTTCTCTAAAAGACTCCAAAAGATTACATTTTCAAGAGGAGTATTTCCAAGCATCCAAGTATTTCAAGGAGTATTTCCAAGCATCTGGTGACCTTTTTTGTAATGCTTACATTTTGGGTAGGGGAAAAAAGACAACTGCAAAACCAAACGGTAAGTCCACAGAGAAATGCAGATTTCAATCTGGGCACAAAGATTCCTATTAGATTCAAACAAAAAGATTCCAAATATTATATTGTTCATTCCTTTCCTTTAGATTGTGAGCACTTATTGGGAAGAAGAAATTCTGAGAAATTTGTTAGTTTTCAGGTCCGAGCTCAGAGAGAAAAGTGCAGGTGGAGTCTTAATGCATGAGCGCTTCAATGGAAAGACTTGTTGAAAGTGTCTCATCTTGCATAGTTCTTTGCACAGAGGCTCTGGTTCTGCTCCCTCAGGTTTGCTGTGTGCTGTATTGAATCCAACAGAGCTTTTCACAGCTTGGGAAGAAACTATTCTGTGAGTCTATGATAAAACAAAGAACACTAAAGTATTTTTAAAAATACTACTATTTATGTAATAAATAGTAATACTATTGGAGGTTGGGTTTTCTTTTTATTTGAGTAAGCTTCAGGAGCTTTTGTAGTATGTGGCAAAATTACTGCTTTTCTTCTGCTGTATTTGCACAGTAAGAAGTTCATATTGGCCATAGGAAAAGCATATCTTTAGCTTTTCTCTAGGATTGCGATATTGAGAGAAAACAAGACCATGTCTGAGGAGTGAACAAAAACTTAATTGAAAACTTAAGTGCTCAGGAGGCTGATTCTATATCTAGGGCAAGCTGTTACTGTGCCATGTGGAAGCAGTTACTCTCCCTGTGTCCTTCAGTGGTCACAGAAGCCGATGTACCAGTTGTCTAACCCCTTGTGTGCCATGTACATTTTGGTTAATAAAGTCAGTATGTCATCAGTAGGTTCATCATTAACTGTGGATTTTCTTGCAGTAGTTTCCAGACAGTGTTTAAAAAGTGTATTTTAAAAATTCCTTTTCCCATCTCCTGTGGCTGCCATTTCCAATTGCTGGACCTGTAACTTCCATTACAGCAGGTACCAGCATTTGTTTGTGAAGCAGCTGGCAATGAGTTCAGGTGGATGGCTTTATTGGCCCTGAGACTTTTTATGTCACTTTTGGACATTCCTTTTCACTACTTGCATTACAAGGAATCCCAATTCATCCTTTTCTGACATTTCCCATGTTACAACCCAGTGTGCAGTTGCAGGCATTCAGGCTCCTATGGTTTAAAGTTCAAGGCTTCTGAGTTACAGCTCTCACTGCTTCTGACATTCAGGATGAGCTGCCAGAGCTTCCAGCACTGACATTTGCTTTGCTGCAGGAAAAGGGCAGAATGTGGAACTCCAGCAAGCTTTGTAAAAAGAGCTTCAATGCATTTCTCAGATGTATGTTGGATGAAAGATAAATTTGGCCTGAAAATTAAATAAGTTGAAAGGCAACCCTTTTATTTATCCTGTCTGGAAGTTCCTAAGTACTCAAGAAAAGTCACTTTCTCCTCATCACTCTCCATTTCTCACCTTTGTTAAAAAGGAGTCTTTCTGCAGCTTTTATTTGCCATGTACTCTGTCTAATTTGTCAATTAAACCAGCCAACTGGGGAGAAGGTACCAAACCTAACAAAGAAGTGAATGATTATCCTAATAGGATAAAAGTTCCTAACCTTCAGTATTTTCAGACTATAAATGCTTGATCACAAAAATAAACTCTCTTATTAGAGTAATTCCAGCTTTCTTTTCAATAAGCAGAACTTCTAACAGCCTTCAGTAAGAAGAATAGCAATGACATGAGGATTTTCAGATTGGCTGTTAAGTGATGTGGTAAATGTGTCCTTAGGTCCTGAATTTCCCATAGCAAAAGGCATAGCTGCTCAGCATGAGAACTCCAGAAAACCATAATCTCAGTCCTTCTGCACATACTTGTTGAAAAAGGGACAGTGAGTTGGCTTATGGAAAGTCAGAATGCATTTTCCTCACATGAAAATTCTTTTATAATTTCTGTTGTTCTACCTCATTTGAAAGCTTTTGAAATTCAGAGTTCCCATGGTAGCCCCAAGGGCAGCGGAGTTGGGGTGCTTTGTGTCTCTGATGCTGGTTTTGGGGTTCCCCCTCCTGTCGTTGTGCCTCTGTGCTCCTTTATGTCCACGGAGGGGATCTTTTACTCACACAACCAAACAATTTGCAACAAAATGGAGAGCACTGCAGTAATCAAATCTAGAAAATAGGTGCAGCTTGTCCCATACAGGTTTAATGGTGGTAGAGGAGACTTGTATGGACAGACAAAGCAAACTTTTATTATAAATTATAATAATGTGATTGGGCTAAAGGATACAAATCAGAATATTTACTGCACAGTGTAAGTGCTGTAGCAACTACTTATTAATTGGCATTTACTAGATATAAAACAATAACTAAAGCAATATTTTAAAGCTAGCTTAATTAATGAATCGGCACATCACTCTGAGAGGTTACCGTCTCTCTGTTGCCTGGCAGGTTTTGTCACCAGAGAGCTGGTGCTGAGATCTTGCAGATCTTTGCATCTTCTCCTTACTCAGAACTGGGGTGAAAACAGAGTAAAGCAGGACTGGAGAGGGAAAGTTCAGCCACACAAGTGAATAGTTTAGAGTGAAAGGGCTTCATGTCTGCTCTCCAAAACCACTGAAATAGTGCTGGTCACATGCAATACAAGTCAAGAAAGATCCGTCATCTTTTTTTAGCCTTCTTTCTTGAGGAGTGTCTAATATACTATATACCTTTTTTTTAGTGCAGATTTTTTTTAGTTTTAGTTCCAGTTCCTCACCCAGCCTGGTGCTGTTAGTCAGTTCTAGCAACTGCACAGCAGCTGCTCTTCAAGCTTTTAACAGACCACAAGAGAAGTTACCGCAAGAGCAGGGTATGAAGTGTTGTGGTTTCCATATCCAGAAACATCCATAAGTGCAGACTGTATTTTCCCTTCTACTTCCCAACAAAACCTCTGATTATTTTGCAATACAGCTGTTACAAGCTCTGCCTATACTGGCACTACTTTAAAGTTCTCTGCAGTTTTTTGCAGGCTGCCATCAACAAGAATTGACCAAATCTCGTAGAAATTAGTTGGTCCCTTGCCTGATCATAGCCACTGCTGAGAGTTGATCGTAGTTCTGGTCTTAAATAAATTCAGGTTACATGAGGAGCTGATGCAGTGGGTTGAGTTTTACTCCTGTGACTTTATGCTACTCACAATCTGCTGGTTCCTCCTGAAACCCAGACCAGGTGATACAAACCCTGAGGTACTGCAAGTGGAGGTCTAGGCTTGGGGAACTGTGTTGTCTCTCATACATTCGCTCTCTGCCAGAGAGGATAACAGTGTGTGGAGCAGCAGCTCTGCTGTGTCCGGTGCTCCCAGAGCCCAGGGGAGGGAACCGCGGGCTGAACTGGAGATGGGGGTCTGCTTGCTCAGCCAAATCCTCTTGAGAACATAGAGGGAAAGTGCAACTTAGCTCTGTCCTGCATATCAGCTGGAGAAACTCTACTGAGGTCTCCACAAGTCAAGTTGGGGAAAAACAGATATAGCCCAGCAGCACTGACTGCTACTGCTGGCTGTAGTCCCCGGTCATGGCACAGTTACAATATCCAGCAAACTAAAGTTCATTCTGGTTCTGGATGACAGCAGAGCCTTTGCCTGCCAGTTGCCTGGTTAGAGCCAGTTTTGTCTTCACTTTCTGGAAGGAGCCCAATGCCAGTGCCACAGAACGCCAGCAGAGATGCAGTGTTTGTTGTTACTATTTTGTTGCATGGGCTGGCAGTGCATCGGGTGGAACAGGAGGAAACATCTGATCAGTGCGGCTGAGCCCGAGGCAGACTTTGGGTGTTTCCCTGCCAGGACCTCAGTGCTGGAGCTGTGGGGCAGCAGAGCTGGGCTGGGGACAGTGGGGGCTGTTCCTGAGTGATAGGAGAGAGGACATCTACAAGAGCTGGGAAGGCAAGGGAAGGTGCAGCTGCTCTTGTAGGCTACGGCAGTAAATCCGTCTTTGAACCCCTTTGTAAATGCATTTATCCATTCTGTATCATGGGCCTAAAGAAATGCATCAATTTCCTTGGCTTGTATAGGGCCTTTCTGCTGGTTTTCTTTGATTTCCATAGCCAGAGCCTGACACATTGCTCCACTGCAGAAGTACCATGAGTGGCAGTACAGCTGTTTCGGCAGGACACTGGTGGCAGCAGAAAGGGACATCACAACGTGGCTCCCTATGACTGAGAAGCAAGTGGAAGGAGCAACATGGCATAATAAGTGTAAAGCACATCAATGAGGACGTATATTTCTTTAATACTGGTTTATTATAAGCCTTTGGATTGATGTACCTTCCTGCATGTCAATAAGTGAAGTGGTGAAAAATGTCATTTATTCCACCCTTCCCTCCAAGCTCCTTCCTACCATGTCATGTCCACTTTTTCTTTCTTTCTTTAGCACTTTCCAGTAAATTTGCTCAGCCCTTTCACCTAAAAGCTGTGCTTTTGCCTCTGTTTCAACCTGGGGAAAATGAGCATAAAAATAAAGCATCCATAAATCCTGCCTTGCTGCTGAGGTAGTGCATGGCAGAGGCTGTGCTGATGAGATGAAGGCAGAGGTGGGAATGCTGCGTGCAGTGCTGTGCAC